AACGCATTTGGGATGCGATGACATACATCAACCAAGTCGGCGAACCTGACCACCCGATCCCGTTAGTCGCCTTTTACGACAAGCATAGTCACCTTTTACGGCAAGACTGGGTTGCTGAAGACCTATTCTAATCCGGATCATTACGGGTCGAGATTTCTTTTGAAAAAAATGTGATCGCGTTTCCAGTGGCGTTAACCTGTCGTCGAGTGTGTTCCGTGACTGACGTTATCCAGTTGTCGGATTCTACCCCGGATCTTCACGGGTCTGCTGTGCAGTTACGTCATTTAGGCGTGTCAGAAACCTATTCACGTGGGTTCGAATCCCAGATTTGCCCCGAATATGTGTCTTTGTTTATCATCACCATGGTCAAGCACGTGGGTTTGGTAAGGCATAAGGGGGCACGGGTGGCTCAGTCGTCTAAGGCGCCGCGATTCGCTGTGCAGAGTTGCGTCCCTTGGCCACGTCAGAAACCTATAATTGTGGGTTCGAATCCCGGTGCGACCCGATTATGTTTCTAGGTTTGTCAGCACCATACCCGTGCTCGTGGGTTTCACCGAAGTGGTAAACGTCTGAGACCTGCATCACTTCGGGCTTTCCTCCCACATTAAGCTGACACGCCGCGATATAACTGGAATACTGTTAAAAGCGGCGTTAAACCCAACTCACTCACTCACTGGTAAGGCATAAGACCGGTAAAACCCGTGAAATAGCTGAAATTCGGTTCAAAGCGGCGTATATATTTTGGATACGACTAGGTCCCCAGATAGTGTATCATGTTTGACGTTTGTGAGGATCAGATGGTCACGTTCTGTGGCAAAGTGTATGTTACTTTACCTAAGTTGTGATTATCTGAAGTAGTTCATGAAACCATGCAATACATGTTGACAAATTCTAGCCATCTCCTGACATCACCAAATCAACATTTTAAATACATTCGAATGGATGTTGTATTGACGAGAAAAATTGTTTGCCCTGAATTTTCAGGCGCTCTGTAAATGAAATGTATTTTGATCGTCTTTGCTCCAGTAAGATGAAATACTTTGTATGAAACGAGTGATGGGGATTTACACGACACATCCTGACTAAAGGTTCGTTACCTCAAAATATAAAAAAACAGCACCACACGACACAGCAGTATCATCCCCGTTGTTTACAGACCGCCATCATATAGCTGAATATTGCGTGCGGCGTTGAAAACAAATAAACAAACAAATCAGACATTATGAAATATCTCCACAACTCAAAGAAGAGTAATAAAATATTTGGAATCAAATGGAGTCACAATAGAGTTACGTCCCTTTGTTAGTAACGCGTCGGGCGTGGTGATGGGGGTATGGTATAGTACACACGTTTTAGTGCGGTCTGTGATTATGGAGGGGCGATGGGGTAGACTAGTGATTATAACGTTCGCTAGTAACGCCGAAGTCCCGGGTTCGATTCCCGACATGGGTACAATGTGTGAAGCCCATTTTTGGAGTTCCCCGCCGTGATATTGCTTTAATATTGCTAAAAGCGGCGTACAACCACACCTACTCACTCACTGTGTATTGAACCACTTGCGTGTAAGGGGGATGTTTTAAGGGGGTGTTTGTACGTTTGTCCGGTGGGGGTGGGGGTGGGGGTGGGGACAACGTATATGTATGCATGTTGTGTGTAGGTAGATGATGAATGCTTGCTGTGGAGTGATGGTATGTAGCTATTAATATAAACTATGTTCGCTTTTATATATTTTATTTACTGTGTGTTGTATTTTAATATTTATTTTACTGTAATGTAAATTATTGTGTTTTATTGTGTCTAACAGGCCATTCTTGGTCGGACATTTGGTACAGTATATTCTCAATGCTTGAATGCATGTAATAAATGTGACACATTAATAAAATATTTGTTCATATTTTTCTCTCTTCATCTGTGTGGTCAAGTTCTGACAGGCAACTGAACCGTTAATGGTAGGACGTATCGGCCCCATGAAGATCCGGGTTGGAATAGGTCTCAGCAACCCATCCTTTTCGTAACAGGTGACAAAAGGGACTGGTGGTCAGGCTCACTGACTTGGTTGATGCATGTCATCGATTGATTGATAGATCATTTTACGTTTTATAGGTGTTCGGGCAACTTGGCCCATTTACACCTCGCCCATAATAAAGGTTTAAGTACCTTGATATTTATAAACTAGTAAAACTGCCAAACGCTTTAATATAAGCGAGAATGACATTCTGAACGTCATGGCGAACGGTGTTCCTAGAACATAAAAGTCCAGCCAATGAGACGTCAATATTGAGAACGGTGAGAGACTCCACCATTTTCTTATGTTGATTTACATAGTTTGGACAATGCAGTAAATAAAGAGCCACATGTCATCGTATCGCAACTGCGTGGGTGGTTGCTCAAGATGTCAATCTCTAGATTTTGTGGTCCAGACTGGATTATTGACAGCCGTTATATAGCCGGAATATTGCTGAGTGTGGCGTTTAACAACAAACAATCAAAACTAAGTATCGGTGTAGTTGATTAAGGGGGCGTAATTTCGCCAAAGTTAGTTTATAAAACTGAAGTTATAAAACTTTGTACCACCTGAACATAGACAGTATTTTCATAAAATCGAACATAAATGCAAGGATTGAAAACTTGGTTATAAAGTTTATTGTAAACATATAGTATGTATACACAGAGAATACTACACTCATTCTCGTTAGATAACAATTTTTTACGAAACAAGTGGACTTCCAATGATATCTGACCGAGCGAAAGCGAGGTCAAATACCATAGATAGTTCACGAGTTTCGTAAAAATGGTATGTAACGAGAATGAGTGTGGTACTTTATTTATTACCTACGTTAAATATATTTAATTGTAAATACAAAACAACTTTCGTTCGTTGACAGACCAAACTGAAACCGGTTGCAAAATCTGGTTGCACATGAATATTGATATATGTCCAAATATGGGCATTGTTGACATTTCTATGCATACGCTTTAACAACATGCGCCTGCAGTTGTGTTTGCAAACAAAACAGCACCGACGCTCAAGATCCTTTTGGAAGAATTTCTTCAACTTATAATAATTCAAGCGCCATGTTGTTAGTACGCAGGGCACCTGTAAGAAAATTTGAAAAGTCACATTAGCGCCGGGCTTTGAATATCGGACCAACCAGTCGGTCACTCGCACTGTCGGTGTTCCGGCTGTGCAATCAAAATGGTTCGGTTTCCTTGATCAGTCAGCTGAATTTATATCATGTCCGTACCATTTTGGAAGAGGGAAATCATATTGTTCGCCAGAGACATTCATGTTAACTGTACCACCCTATACTGAAGACGTGAACATCAACAAATTCAAGTCTGCTTGCATGTCAGTGACAGCTTCGAAAGAAGGGCAAGGTCACCACCGGAATAAGAAAAGACAACTGTGATCTACTCACAGCGTTTTACACTTGAGATAGGGAATGTTATTGCTCTCATTTGGGATATTTTGGGCCCCATAATCTGAAATCAGGTACACTTCGACGGAGTTTTTGAAGTATTTGTAAATTAAATGTTCACTTTGAGTGATCTGTTCGTGCAGTCGTGAACAAACAACTCCCGAAACAGCGCCACAAAAAACCTTCGAAGGGGACACTAATGGCACAACCGGATCATCCCAAGTAAGTCTAGATATCTGACCAGCTAGTTTAAACTGACTTCATTTCACCACGCTTATCTGTTTACGTTAAATCAAATTGAACATTGTGAAAGTGGTTGGGTACGTCACGCTGGATGGGGACCCTCGATCTATTGGTCGGTAGTCGTACATTGTAAATGGATATAGCTCGATTATATAATGTATGTAGAAGCTCTATGCATAACTTATACACAATGCAAACCGAATTTGATGCGTGTGACTATCTTGTTTGGTTTAATAAAGTGTTTGTAATTATCTCTTGCTCTCATGAGATTGCTTCAGTTATGCCTTGTAGTTGCAAAATGAATTACGTCTTGCGATTTTTTATGAATGAAAAAAGTAGTTCCGATGTGACAGAGGTCACGGTTATCCAATCAATACGAATAAAACAAGGTCAACCTTGTACGACGGAGGTGTGACGTCCGGATTTCAACATCTTCACCACGTGGGTAATATACTGTCATATTTCATCTAAAAAAATTTATAAGTGAATAAAGAGTTTTCATATCATGGAATGATATAAATATAAAAGAATTAATAAATAAAAGTCATATACACTGCTGGGCAAAAGAAAGTATATCCCATGTTTGATGGTGAAACAAACAAGAAATGATTTTTCTATGGTGATATATTTGATACGGGTATCACAGTTGTGTTTTGGACATAAAGTTTTCAGTGTTTTGGCGCCTGTTTTCAAATTGTAGTAAGGGGCGGTCGGGTAGCCTAGTGGTTAAAGCGTTCGCTCGTCACGCCAAAGACCCGGGTTCGATTCCCGACATGGGTACAATGTGTGAAGCCCATATCTGGTGTCCCCCGCCGTGATATTGCTGGAATATTGGTAAAAGCGGCGTAAAACCATACTCACTAACTCACTCAAACTAGTAACGTTTTGATCACGTGTATAATGATTTTGTCACATTTTTCAAGTGTATTCTTTCTTTTGCCGATGTTACGGATAATATAACACGAACAAGTACTTGTTCTAATCTCCTAGACGAACTGAACAAAACATTTAAGAAGAAAAGTATGAGGCAATGTTTCACTCCAACATTCTGTCAATTTCTAAGGATAAGTTTACAGATGAAACTATGCATTTCGAGACAATTTAAGAGCATGGTCAAACACGGTAAACATTTCAAATATTGAAAAACACGGGAGCATATATGTTGAGCCTCAGTACCAACTGCGCACACACCAAATTTCATAACATTTGGCCATTAAAATGTTTTGTTAGTGTGGCTGTCATTGTAGCCACTTTGAAATCAGATTCGAACCTCTGAACAAACATGGGGGATGGGTGGTGGGGGGGTGGGGTGGGGGTGGGGTGGGGGTTGGGGGGTCATCATAGGTGGGAATAAGTAAAGTTTCAGCTTCCCTGGTCCAGTGGAACTTGAAGAGAAGATGTATGCAACGGGCGGACGGCGCACGTGGGGCGATGGACCATCGGACCACGACATGGACGCTCTTGACCTTCAGTTAGTTGAGCTACAAAAGAGGGAAAGTCATATGTTCCCAGACTCCACACCCTCTCCTGTCACACATATATATTGCGTGATCGATTTAAACAGTAATCGAAACACAGCCCCCAGCCCTCGCTTCCTCTACAACCCCATCAATCTTTTACTTTATGGTTGACCTCCTAATGCTGCGGCTTAAAATAATATACTGTTGTGAATAAAATCTTCAGTACTGTTTGATTTCTTTCTCGTCCTTGCAAAACCCCTTTGTCTTGCTTCTAAGTTAAGGACCCTTTTGGGGATAAGAACAGGCAATTTCTTAACTGAAGAATCTTTCCTTTTCTGAGCGTCCTCCGCAAAGACATCTTCGTCTAAAGATTCTTGTGATGTTAAAGTCAAACGGCTCCCATTTCGTGAGAAGGGAGTTGTCGTTCCTGACGACACTAACATCCCATTCAAATCTCGTAGATCCGGTAACGACACTGAGTCTCTGCGAGATCTACCTCTGTCAATATGTCTTGCCTTCTCTACAAATCGTGAAGCAATTTGAGGCAGACCTGACATTTGACCTCTGTCACTGCACACATCATTCCGGGGTGTGACGTCATTATCCCGAGGTGTGACGTCATCGTATGCGGCACTGTCGGACTGACGATGTAACTCTGTATCACTGGTACATTGAGCTTGATGAAAAGGTGCACGGTCAGCTGAAAAACCTCGTTCGGGAAGATGACGTTTAGTCACATGGTCGCTTGTATCCAATGACTTGCTGTGGTAGAACGGCAGGCGGGGATTCCCGTTGGTGTTATGTGACTTTAACGACAGGGGTTTACTCGCAGTTGGAACAGCCGCCGGAGGGAGCCGAGGTTGTCTTTTGTCCGTCCGCTTCCGAAGTTGTTTGACACTGGGGTGGGCGGGCCTGCGATGTTCCAGCAACTGTATGATGTGTGGGTCTCCTTTCTTCTGGGCGACATCCATTGCTGTCAAACCTGGAATAGACAGAAAGTTGTCTCGAGTGAATATTGCGTACAGCAGCATTAAACAATACTTCAGCTATGTGAGAATTATCTGTAAATAATCTAGTCTAAACAAGGCACAACCAATGATAATTAATGAGTGACAATGGTTTTACGCCGCTTTTAGCAATATTCCAGCAATATCACGACGGGGCACACCAGAAATGGGCTTCACACATGTCGGGAATCGAACCCGGGTCTTCGGCGTTACGAGCGAACGCTTTAACCACTAGGCTACCCGACCGCCCCTAATGATAGAAAACAATCCACAGCCATGTCGGCGCGATCCCAGAATAGAATAGGCCTTAAGCTACCATGCTTGTCGTAAGAGGCGACTAACGGGATCGGGTGGTCAGGCTCGCTGACTTGGTTGATGCATGTCATCGTATTCCAGTTCCGTGGTTCGAAGCTAATGATATCAATCACTGGATTGTCTGGTTCTCACTCGATTATTTACAGACCGCCGTCATATAGCTGGAATATTGCTGAGTGCGGCGTTACACTACAGACAGACAAACAAACAAACACATAATTTGTCGCCTTATTCCACCTACATTACGTGGATCTTTAAATAATCGACAACCAGTGACTGAACTCATGAACATCGATCCACACCATCGTTGTAAGTGAGTGAGTGAGTGAGTTGGGTTTAACGCCGCTTTTAACATTATTCCAGTTATATCACGGCGTGTCAGCTTAATGTGGGAGGAAAGCCCGAAGTGATGCAGGTCTCAGACGTTTACCACTTCGGTGAAACCCACGAGCACGGGTATGGTGCTGACAAACCTAGAAACATTATCGGGGCGAACCGGGATTCGAACCCACAACCATAGGTGTCTGGCGTGCCCAAGGGATGCACGTCTGCACAGCGAATCGCGGCGCCTTAGACGACTTTGCCACCCGTGCCCCTATCGTTGTGAAATAACACGCAATCACCCATGTCGGTTCGATCCCAACTGAAGTGGTCCCTAACAGTTTTGTTTGTTGTTTTACGCCGCACTGAGTTTCATTCCAGCTTTATTACGGCGATCTTTAAATAATCGAGTCTGGACAAGACAATCCAGTGATAGACATCATATAAAACGTTCTACGCCGTCGGCGTACCATGACACACAATCAACCAAGTCAGCAACCCTGACAACCCGATGCATTAGGTCGCCTCTTACGACCAGCATGGTTGCTGGGGACACTTCTGACAGGGGATTCCCAGGTGCATTAGTTGGCTCCAAAAACAAACATCCGACACTGTAAGCTTTTTTCAATAGTACGAAATCCAAATGGTGCCACTTTGGTAGCAATTTCCTGTAAACTGAAACGTCTCGTTATTTCAAAGTTGTTTTCGAAATTTCGATTATTTTCAGGTTACATCGAGTATATTTTCGCAATTTCGATTATTTTCTCGCTATTTCAAGTTTACTTAAAAACGCGAAACTTCGAACTTTTTCTCGAGTCTTCGAATATTTTCTCGTAATTTGATCATGTTTGTTATGTCAATAAATGGAAACTTATTTTAACGTATTTTAAAAATAAAATGAAATAACGAGAAATTTTGAATTAAAACAAATTAACACGATGGTACCAAAGTGGCACCACTATACTTTCATGGAATTGTCATGCATCGAAACTGAACGGACTTATTTCAGCGCCTCTTTAAGGCGTGTCCACGCAAAGCTGAGAGTGACTCACGATGGAGACACCTACCACTTTGGCGAAGACACGTGGGTTTTGTTTTGTTGTTTTACGCCACACTCAGCAATATTACAGCCATTTGACGGCGGTCTGTAAATAATCGAGTCTGGACCAGACAATCCAGTAATTGACATCAATCCACTCGGCTTTGGCATTAATCCTCTCAATTAGGATACGATGACATGCGTCAACCAAGTCAGCGAGCCTGACCACCCGATCCCGTTAGTCGCCTTTTCCGACAAGCATAGTCGCCTTTTATGGCAAGCATTGTCGCCTTTTACGACAAGCATAGTCGCCTTTTACGGAGTGGCAAAGCTCGTTGACCTGACTGATTGCATCTCGTCGTATCCCAGTTGAGTGAATTGAGTATTTGACGTTGATAAAACCAATTCCTGCGATTGACATCATGAGCAAAGATATCCACAAATGGGATACGATGACATGCAATCAACCAAGTCACTGAGCCTGTCCGCCCGAGCCAGTTACTCGTAACGACAAACATAGGTTGCTGGATTTGGTTTGTTGTCTAACGTCGCAATCAGCAATATTCCAGTTATATGACGGCGGTCTGCCAAATAATCGAGTCTGTACCAGACAATCCAGTGATTATATCATGAGCATCGATCCACGCAATTGGGATCGATGACATGCATCAACCAAGTCAGCGAGCCTGACCACCCGTTAGTCGTCTCTTACGACAAGCATAGTCGCCTTTTTCCGGCAAGCATGGGTTGCTGAAGACCTATTCTACCCCGGGTCTTCACGGGTCTACAGGTTGCTGGGACCTATTCCATTTGAGAAGCTCCATGGGTACGGGTATTGAGGAACTCAAAGTGTATTGAGAAAGTCAGCTAATACTTAAACATTAAAATCACCTATATTGTTCTTGGCGTTGAGTAGCTCATATGTTGTTAGATCACAATCAAGTATGTTCTCTATTATATCAGAGTCCCCGCTCCGGATCGCATACACCAACACCGTATTTCCGTCATTGTCTCGCTGTGTGACGTCACTACACCGTGACGTCACAAACTGCACAACGTTTGACTTCCTGGCAATGCAAGCATGCATCAGCGCTGTCCTTCCTTGAGCATCTTGAGCGTGATAATCCGGGGTCTTTGCGTCCAGTGAGTCCAAAATGGCACGTTCACCATAGTTGTCGAGTCCCATGTGGCATATTTTCATAAGAAACGTCTGTAGATCGTGAATTCTGTCCCTTTCGTCCGGATCGAAATCTTCATCATCAATAACGTTCAATAAATCGTCAATGTTTACGGTCACTATTGAATTCTGGGTACCGGATGACATCGATCCCTCTGAGTCGCACATGCTTATGTCATCGCTTCCAGATGCTGTAATGAAATGCATTCATTTAGTGAAATAAACAGTTTTGTGATGTTCGTTTAAATTTCGACATTCTTGCAAACTAAAGTTATCTGTCCTCTGTCAGTACTTTCAACACACATAAAAATGTTGCTTCAATATTCTCAATCTAGCAGGAAAAGGACAGCTTTAACCAAGATGACAATCCCCAATAGTATAGCTAGAATATTGTTTGTTTGTTGTTTAACGCCGCAATATTCAAGTTATACGACGGCGGTCTGTAAATAATCGACTCGACCAGAAAATCCAGTGATTGACATCATGGGCATCGATCAACGCAATTGTTTTACTTTTCTTCGTTGGCAGGTTTTCATATAGTCTCGATGTATTTATTTTTAATGTATGGCTTTTTATTGTCACGGCATGGCTGAGATACTGACGATGTGACTCATTTAACTCATTTACTTACAATAACTATAACGACCGTCGTCGTGGAAAATAGAATAGTGACGTTCACCTTGGACATTCAAGCAATAGAATGATGACTTCACACTGGACATTCAAACAATAGAATGGTGACGTTCACCTTGGACATTCAAACAATAGAATGACGACGTTTACCCTGGACATTCAAACAATAGAATGATGACGTTTACCCTGGACATTCAAACAATAGAATGATGACGTTCACCCTGGACATTCAAACAATAGAATGGTGACGTTCACCTTGGACATTCAAACAATAGAATGATGACGTTCACCTTGGACATTCAAACAATAGAATGATGACGTTCACCTTGGACATTCAAACAATAGAATGATCACGTTCATCTTGGACATTCAAACAATAGAATGATGACGTTCGTCTTGGACATTCAAACATAGAATGATGACTTCACACTGGACATTCAAACAATAGAATGATGACTTCACACTGGCCATTCAAACAATAGAATGATGACGTTCACCTTCGACATTCAAACAATAGAATGATGACTTCACACTGGACATTCAAACAATAGAATGATCACGTTCACCTTGGACATTCAAACAATAGAATGATCACGTTCACCTTGGACATTCAAACAATAGAATGATGACGTTCGTCTTGGACATTCAAACAATAGAATCATGACTTCACACTGGATATTCAAACAATAGAATGATGACGTTCATCTTGGACATTCAAACAATAGAATGATGACTTCACCTTCGACATTCAAACAATAGAATGATGACGTTCGTCTTGGACATTCAAACAGTAGAATGACGACGTTTACCTTGGACATTCAAACAATAGAATGGTGACGTTCACCTTGGACATTCAAACAATAGAATGATGACGTTCACCTTGGACATTCAAACAATAGAATGATGACGTTTACCCTGGACATTCAAACAATAGAATGATGACGTTCACCTTGGACATTCAAACAATAGAATGATGACGTTCACCATAAACATTCGAAGAATAGAATGATCACGTTCACCTTGGACATTCAAACAATAGAATGATGACGTTCATCTTGGACATTCAAACAATAAAATGATCACGTTCACCTTGGACATTCAAACAATAGAATGATCACGTTCACCTTGGACATTCAAACAATAGAATGACGACGTTCATCTTGGACATTCAAACAATAAAATGATCACGTTCACCTTGGACATTAAAACAATAGAATGATCACGTTCACCTTGGACATTCAAACAATAGAATGATGACGTTGGTCTTGGACATTCAAACAATAGAATGATGACGTTTACACTGGACATTCAAACAATAGAATGGTGACGTTTACCTTGGACATTCAAACAATAGAATGATGACGTTCACCTTGGACATTCAAACAATAAAATGATGACTTCACCTTGGACATTCAAACAATAGAATGATGACGTTTATCTTGGACATTCAAACAATAGAATGATGACGTTCGTCTTGGACATTCAAACAATATAATGATGACGTTCATCTTGGACATTCAAACAATAGAATGATGACGTTCGTCTTGGACATTCAAACAATAGAATGATGACGTTTACCTTGGACATTAAAAAAATAGAATGATGACGTTCACCCTGGACATTCAAACAATAGAATGATGACGTTCATCTTGGACATTCAAACAATAGAATGATGACTTCACACTGGACATTCAAACAATAGAATGATGACGTTCATCTTGTACATTCAAACAATAGAATGATGACTTCGCACTGGACATTCAAACAATAGAATGATGACGTTCATCTTGGACATTCAAACAATAGAATGATGACTTCACACTGGACATGCAAACAATTAAATGATGACGTTCACCTTTAACTCGCTGACAAAACCGATGACGATCAATCAGACGTAAATATTCATATTATTCTCTAAAAATAGAATGAATTCAATACCATAGGTCATAAATATAAACTATAAAATCTACCAATGCTGGCGTCCAACTTCGATTATCGTAAACAATGAATTCGAAGTTTTTTCGCCGTGTTGGGAGGTTCCAATATCTAAAAGCGGAAGGCACATTACGAGCGATGCCGTTCTCAGAGATGTGTATTGTCGTAAATCTGACATCCGCTACGGGTCGAACAACAGACTGAGTTGTAGTCAGGTGGAACAGTCACTTCAGTCGATCGTTTATCAAAGCAGAACCTTTCAGAATCACAATACACTGATATTGATTTATTGATGTACTTTCTGGGAGAGCAGACAATGGTATTCGGTGTTTAGATTTATTCTTTGAAGCGTCCTTTGGCGTGCAAAAGGAATTATGCACAAAAGAGCGGAACTATCAATACACGGTGTTACCAGGGTGACTTAGGTCGCCCCGGAAGTGTTTAAAACCATCAATACGCCTCAAAACCGTGTTTAACCCGCACCAAACATAGCTGTATAATTTGTTGTGCCTTGCTTATCGACAGAAATGTCTCTAAAGTCATGCTTAACGCTCTCGGAACAGTACTTTAAATTAATCACGACTGATTTCAAGGATAATGCATGCTTAATGTAAGATACAGTTACTTGTGTACGTATACACCGATGAATTTGCGTATAAACTGTCCGGTCAATGGGGTCAGTTTGAGATTTTGAGGGGCGGCATGATATTTCTTTTTAAAAAGTAATGTGTTCCTGAAACCCGTGGGACCACCTCTGACCACCCCCAGACGTTTAATATATGGTATTTGTTGTTACCCTGCCTGGCGCTTTGAATAAATAGGATAAAACAAGGAATGGTCGGCTCGGAGTCAGTATACTCTCTGGTTGGTTGGTCAGCAATATTCCAGCTATATGAGGATTTTCTGTAAATAATCGAGTCTGGGCCAGAAAACCCAGTGGTTAATATCATGAGCGTCGATCCACGCAAATGGGATCTATGACATGCTTCAACCAAGTCAGCGAGCCTGACCCGATCCCGTTAGTCGCCTCTTACGACAAGCATGGTCGCCTTTCTCTCAGTCTCATGTTTAATTTGGGCATGGTATCTCGGTGGGCTTGCACTATAAATTAGTCCGGACTAGTACAAGCAACCACACACACGTCGCTACAGACGAGCAATAACCATTGGCCTGAAAACCCCGGCAAAGAGTAATTTGCTCCCAAATTTTATCACACAATGATGAACCCAACACAAGACATGATAGTTGTCCTGAAAATGTCGATTAATAAAATGTTTGGACTCCTAACAGAGAACATAACTGTTTAATTATCTTGATAAGAAAAATATCCCGTCTCAGATCACCCAACCCCCACTACATTCCGCCCACTCCCCGACTATAAAATATACCACACTTAGGAATTGTTCGCACTTCATCACCATACACATGTCATACGAAAGCCTAATGATGCCAAATTTGTAGCATTATTTATTTATTGTAAATCGAAATTTCTCATTAATTAAATTATTTGTCGATTTCTATCAAAATATCGGTTATTTTCTCATTATTTCAGTATTATTTTAAAAATAACGAATAAATAATGGAAGTAACGAGAAAAAACTTGAATTTTTTTTTTTTTAAATATTAAGCTTTCGTACTATACAATACATTCAACGCCTCTCATCTACCAGAGTGCTGTGTTATTGTCCGACAGTGTTATTATCCTGCCCACGAACTGTACTGCATGATTGTCGACAGACAATGCAATGAATGGCCTACTCACGAGGGTGATGAATATTATATGAGAACGGAACAACTCATGGGAGTAATAGTTCCAGGGATTAGTCAGTCTGTTTGGAAAAACGCCCAAATGAATAGACCAAAATGAAACCCGGTGAGGCGTCCAACACCTTGATTGGTATCTGTACTAATCCAATGGGTCATCCAGACTCCTGGTCGAACTGGCAAAAACAACATGTGAGTCAGTGAGTTGGGGTTTAACGCCGCTGTTAACATATTTTCAGTTATATCGCGGCGTGTCAACTTTATGTGGGAGGAAAGCCCGAAGTGATGCAGGTCCCAGACGTTTACCACTTCGGTGAAACCCACGAGCACGGTTATGGTGCTGACAAACCTAGAAACATAATCGGGGCGAACCGGGATTCGAACCCACAATCATAGGTTTCTGGCGTGCCCAAGGGACGCAACTCTGCACAGCGAATCGCGGCGCCTTAGACGACTGGGCCACTAGTGAATCTCGTATCGTGCACAGTGCGGTAGATGATACGAGGGTTTTGTTTGTTTGTTGTTAAACGACGTATTCAGCAATATTCCAGCTATATGACTGAGGTGAAAAAGTACTGCACTGGCGCTTAGTCAGCACCTAAAGAATACTTTTCCATGGTATTATTTTTAAAATAAAATCTAAATTTAAAACATTAAAATGTAAAACAAACGCATAA